GGCTGAAATTTACCCCGGTGCGTCCGCTCACACCTGCATCCTTGTGGTCCTGGTGTGATGGGTGCTGGCCCTCGTCCTGTTCGTGCGCCTCGCCGTGCTACAGTTGGACCGAGGTATCAGATCGAGGTCGGTTCGGGGGCCGTACCCCAAAGTTGTTCGTGCTTGTAGGATGTTCTTGTGCGTCCTGTGGGAGGCTGCCCTCGGACGTTCTTCCTCTTGGCGGGCGCAGGCTCTCATGTCCTCGAGGGCTGCTCTTCTGTCCTGGGTCCGACCGTTCTCGTGACGGTGGTGCTTTGGCGTGCGGGGACGAGGAGGACGCCGCCTCGCGCGACCAAAGGTCAGCGCTGACCTTTGGCCCTTTCCTGCTCGGGGGCGAAGAGCTCTGGTCGGACCGCGGTGGGATCAGGAGTCACCAGTTCTCGAGGATCACGCGCGCCTGCTTGTTGCGGGCTGCGGGGGCTGTCGGGGCGACGTGATCATGAAGTCAGTGGCGGCTGCCCTCCCGCTGTCGCCTCTGTTCCCTCTGTATCCTTGTTGCCTCGCTTTCTCTCATCACTCTCTCGCGGAGTTCCGGATCCTTTTGCCCTTCAGTCAGACAGAGCCTTTCTTCTACGCTGGTCTCCCCCTTCCTTTCCTGCTCCTCTCTCTCCTCCTCTTCCCCTTTCTCCCTTGCCCCTCCTCCTCGTCCTCCTCTTCCTCCTCGTCCCCCTCGTCCACCTCGTCCTCCTCGTCCTCCTCGTCCTCCTCGTCCTCCTCCTCGTCCTCTTCCTCTTCCTTCCAATCCTCCTCCTCCTCTTCCCTCTTCCTCTCTCCCCCTAACCTTGCTCTCTCCTCTCTACTCGCTTCGATTGCTCTTCGTCCTCGTCTCCCTCCATTCAGGAATCCCACAGGGACGCCAGCTTGCAGGTGTCAGAAGGTTATCGCTTCCACGTAGTTGTGTGCTTGGCCGCAGGCGGGGTGGCCGCAGGCGGGGTATGACCACAGTCCAGAGACCATAGGAGGGCACCGTAAGATCCAAGTATACAAACGAAATCCGCCTGGGGATGCGGTGCTTCACTGCGGCTACCCTTGCATCCTTGCTTCGTCTGCCTATACTCGTTCAATCCCGTGCTCTGACGCCGCTGCAATTGTTTCAACTTGGGCATCCAGGGGTCTTGCACCGTTACCTTACATCATTCGCATGCGTTTTCGTATGGTTGCTTTGTGCGCATCGCCAGTTCTGCCTGGCGCGCCTCCCGCCTCCTGTTCTGCTTCCTCGCCTGAGCCCGTGGAGGAGAAGTCAAGTTGAGAGCGCGTTGAAGGGGCCTTCCAGGAGGAGGAGGAGGAGGAGGAGGAGGAGGAGGAGGAGGAGGAGGAGGAGAAGTGAGCGAGGAGGGGAGTGCAGGATGGAGGAGGAGGAGGAGGAGGAGGAGGAGGAGGAGGAGGAGGAGGAGGAGGAGGAGGAGGAGGAGGAGGAGGAGGAGGAGGAGGAGGAGGAGTAGGAGCATTGCACGCCACTGAGGGGGACGGAGAGAGAGTCCAAGCACCCTAAGGGGGGCCCATCGACCAGGACCTTTTTGTCACCACGGTGCGGCTCGGACAGGCTGCACACCGTGGGCCAGCGACAGGGCCCCCTTAGAAAAACACATCATCCTCGCCCAGCAGATCTTTGGAATCCCGTTCTCTGCACACCTTGCCAAGGTCACGCGCTTCTATCTCGTTGAGCCCAAACACTTGGAGGCAGTCCGAAAGACAGAGTCTGCCTGCACCCACGCGAAAGGGGGCTATCGACGCCCTTGGCCTTCCTGGAAGGACCTCCCCCGATTTTTACCCGGGGGCCAAATAACTCAACCGCCAGGCCACCTGGAGTCCTCGCAGGGCCCAGTTTGCGCGAACGATTCAGGTGCTTCAGGAGGAGGAGGAGGAGGAGGAGGAGGAGGAGGAGGAGGAGGAGGAGGAGGAGGAGGAGGAGGAGGAGAATGGAGGAGGAGGAGGAGGAGGAGGAGGAGGGAGGAGGAGGAGGAGGAGGAGGAGGAGGAGGAGGAGGAGGAGGAGGGAGGAAGGAGGAGGAGGAGGAGGAGGAGGAGGCGAGGCGGAGGCGGAGCGGAGGCGGAGGCGGAGGAGGAGGAGGCGAGAGAGGAGGAGGAGGAGGAGAGGAGGAGGAGGAGGAGGAGGAGGATGAGGAGGAGAGGGAGAGGAGGGAGAGGAGGAGAGGAGGAGGAGGAGGAGGAGGAGGAGGAGGAGGGGAGGAGGAGGAGGAGGAGGAGGAGGAGGAGGGAGAGGGGGAGGACCCGAGCGATGGAAGGCGCGGCCGATCAGATCGAGCGCGCCCCAGCAGAGGCATGAAACGGTGGAGCAGCCATCAAGGTAGGCTGCCGAGCGCCGCTCTTGCACACTCTGACACGCCCAACCGAGCTCATCGAACGACGAGGGCGGAGGCTCTAGAGCGAGCGGGAAATCACACGGGAAAGATCTTACCCGTGCGCAGATGCAGCCCTCTCATCAGCCTGGAGATGGCTTGCTCCTGACTCGAGCGAGTCGACGCGACGAGAGCAGGGCCAACGCACCGAGCTTCGAGCTTACGGTTTCGGCCCTGAGCCACCGAGTAGGCCCCACAGGAGAGGCAGATCACATGATCTCCGAACCTCTCAACTTGATGGCCCAACTCCGAAAGGGCTTGGTCGATTGCGTCCCTCCCGCCGCCCTCCACGACAGCGACGGCGTCGACCCCCCCGCCGTCCCCGTCTAGAGACCCGTCCTCGAGGCCTGCTGCAGCAGCTGGCTCTAGGTCTCGGGCAGCACGGAGCGCTGCTGCCACCGCACCTGTCGGGTGGCGGTAATCCTCAGGCGTGAGCCTAACAAACCTGGCGGCGGCAGCACGTGACAAGCCAGACGGGTGACACGGCTGGCGCCTGAAAGCACGGAGAGACGCGACAGTGCGAGCCCAATGATTACACGCCCGACGACGGAACTCCGGCAGTCGATCGCGCACTCTGAACTCATGACTTTCCAGGACAGCTGAGGCCACAGGAGGGGGAGCTCCGCGAGGCTTGGGGAGGTCAACCCGCGGATGGAGCTCACCAGCCCTTCTGGCCACCGTCCTGATCAGCCACGACAGAGCTCGAGCGTCCTTGACGAATTGTGCAAGTCTCATCTTGTGAATATTCTCAAGCGTCTGGGCAGCAATATGCGTGCGTGCTCCTTTCTTCGCAAAATGGTCTGCCCATTCGTTGCCTATAAAATCCACAAAGGACGCCTCGGGGTGGGTTGGCGCGCGCCCATTCTGGCTTCCGAGCTTCCTCTGCCTTCTTTCCAGGCTGGATGGGGTTTTAATCACGGTGTCGACCGTCATTCGCAGTGAATCTGGTGTGGTGTCGCGCCCGGAGTAAGGTCGCTTGCCTGCACGCTTCTTGTGCACACCCGCTTCGCCGCGCGCGTAAAAATAGTGGTGCTTCCTCACATGCTGACCATGAGCGCTCATTCTGATCCGATCCGATCCGATCCTCTCTGCCCTTGCCCGCTCCCCGATTCTCTCCCGTTCCCTCCCTCTCCGCCTCCTCCTCCCCTCCTCCTCCCCTCCTCCTTCCTCCTCCTCCTCCTCGTCCTCCTCCCCCTCCCCCTTCCCCGCCTGTCTCCCGCTCCCTCCCTCTCGCCGTCTCCTGCCGCGCCTCCTCTCCGTGCAGGAGACCGCCCAGGAGGAGAGCAGCGAGGCGCCCATGGCGGGCCCCCCGACTTGCTGCGGCTATTTGTCTCGGCTGGCGGTCGGGCCCGATGGGCCCCTGGCAGCGCCGGCGGGGGCTGCCCGACGTAGGCCCAGTGTGGTCCCAGATCTCCGACGACGGGATTCGTTTTCTTGGGGGGCTCTGGGCGTTTCTTCATCGGTTTCGGCCGTGGGGACCCGTTTTCGGGCCCCGGGGCGATCAATATGGAAATCGGGGCGGAAAAGCTGGGCCCCGGGGAAGGGGTTGGGGCCTTGGGGGCCGCGCATTGAAAAATTCGAGGCCTCCCAGATGGGGTCGGAGTAGATGAGGTCGGAGAATCGCGCCGCATCGCCGATGCATCGGCGATGTGGCTCGATGTGGAGCCCGGTTTGCTTCACGTCGACGTTGCCGATGCATCGCCCACGTCGACGATACATCGCTGGTGCATCGCCGAAGCATCGCCGATGTATCGGCGATGCGGCGCGATCCTCCGACCCCATCTACTCAGATCCCATCTAGGAGGTCTCTAAAAGTCATATCTTCGGATATCTGGGGTCGGAAACGTTTGGTTACCGTGTTGCGCCGCCAGCGCTTGCCCATCTCACCCTTCGGCGCGATGCGCTAACCGCGTCCAAGTCCTCAAGCGTCCGCGTCCCGAGCTTTTCCCATCATTTCGCCGCGCGGAGCGACACGCTATCTGCTTGTAGGGCATTGCGTATCGCCGGGGCCGCCACAGCGACACGCTGAGCAAAAAATCCGGACCACACGCGCAACCCCTTTCTGTTTCAATCACACGGTATCTTCCGATCCGCCTGACGGCTGGCTGCCACGTTAGTGGACCATCCAGCTTTCCCGACGCAGCGCCGTTCGGGGACAGTGTCCTTGGGAATCTATCGCATACGGCCCAGAGGAGTCATTAACCATCCTTGGTTTCGATGCGCTGCGGTGGAAAAAAACACTGCGGTTACGGATGAGAGGGGTGCGGGTGACAAAACCACCGACATGCATGGGTATGCGCTGTCACTCACATACTTGGGCGTAGAGCTGCGTTGAGGATGCCCGCGACCAGGTGTCCCCCAGACCCCTGGCAGATTGATGCTCTCAATCGCGGCACTTCTCCACAGTCTCGGCCGCCGGGGGTCGTTTTGCAAGAGTCCTCTCCGGGGAAGCGGTCGGGAGCCTCGGGGCAGCGGATCGGACAAAAACCGCATCGCTTGATGCTTGGGTTTCCACCTCTCCCTCCACTCCACTTTCGCTCCCCCTCCCTCCCCTCCTCTCCGCTCGTCAAGATGGGGTGGCAGCCTGGCTCAGCGTTGGGAAAGGACACAGACAAGGAGATTTTTAAAGCAGTGGAACCTTTTAATTCGGTCTTTCGACGACGATATCAAAGAGCTGGGCTAGGTACGGAGTAGCTCACCTGCGGCGCTAAAGTTTTTCAGAACATATACACGGAATGCGCCATCCATGGTTAGCAGTGCGAGGCAATACCAATTAATTGCTTGAGGGCTTTATCGTTCAGCATGGACGAAGGCAACGGCAAATATTGCATTTTGGGACGCAGAGTTGTGCATTTCTGTTCTGCGTGGTCAGTGGGATTTCAAAGCGGCATTTGTACCATATCAAAACAGATATTGAGATCATATCGGGCCCACCGTGGATTACGAAGACAGTGCAGAGAGGACGCATTGATAAGCACAGTGAGTAGCACATGGCCTGATTCAGGAGCTTCACCATGGCCACTTCACGACGAAGTTCGACTGCGCAAACGCGTTTGGATGTGCGATGCGAGACAAGCTGGGGCTGATTGCACATGAAACGAGCTTACAGCGGGATATTCCAGTCGCAGCGGGGGCGATCGATCATTCATCGATGGTGATTTCGGGCAACGACGACGAGGTGAACCCTGTGCCACAAACTGGAAGCCAAATTGGGTTGTGCCTGGCGCCGAGGGACTTCAATGACTGTTACACTCCAGACATCAATAAGTGGAGTTCCGAGTTTATGGATAAGAACAGCACGTACGGATTCTTGAAGACGAGGAGCCCCGCATTGGTGATGCATGAGGAGGTGGTTTTGAGCTTGGCCGCGTTCGTGGACGACGTCACGAAGACGCACGTATGGCTGGGGACACCAACCCCTGTGGAGGCTACTGTTAAGATCAATGCTGCGTCGGAAATGCTGGAGCGAGAACCTGGAGATGGCGGTTGGCACTTGAACGCTGGGAGGCCCAACCATCTACTCAGCTTGCAAGGCACAGGTGCAAAGGCCACAACATGGAAATTACAAACAAAACAAAGTAATATGCGGATGTTTGGGCCGTATTTGGCGTCTGATGGCGCACGCAGTCATGACCTGTGACTACGGGGCGGGGCTGTATATCGAGCTTGGCGACAAGGATGCGTTCTTTGGAAGGCGAAAGGGCTCAAGAGAACACAAGAGCTGATGCTCCAGAGCTTAGTGCAGGGATCGGCCCTCTCGGGGATTACAACCGTAGTATTGGAGAAGCGACATGTCAAGTATTTGGACACGATTATGGTAAATCTTTAGAGCTACACGGCGAGAGGAGCGTTCTCATGGGAAGCAGATGGTGACAACAGAAAAGCAAACATGACCAACTACCAGGTCTACGAGTATCTGGGCACTCTCAACGTGGAGGCAACGCTGTCCATTCGACGTATCAAGAGACTTCACTGCCGGGGGAGGACCACAGAAAAAGCGAAACAAGTACTGGCAGCAAAACATGGAAATACGCGGATGGAGGGAACGATTGGAATTTCACGCTTGGGCGCCACTTTGGGTGTGTATTCAGGGAGCACGCCCTGGGCATTGCAGATGCAAGCAGTTTGCGCACGCTGCATTTTTGAACGGACAGTTTCGCGCATGGCATGTGAACGATGGCAGAGATTGGCTGCTATCCAAAGAGTGTTCGGAGGATGAAGAATGTGCGATCCTCTGACATTCTCATTATCCGATCAGGTTCTCGAATACTGCGATGGATAATGAAGGAGGACCAGGGCAGAATGTAGGAGGAGGCCGAAAACTTGATGGACAACCATTCGTCTACAACGTGGGCATATTCAAGGAGCAGAAGGGGGTGGGATGCGGAAGGTGTTTTGCAAGTTCTCGAGCATTGGCAACGCACCAGCAGCAAGCGCACACATGCTGATCAGTCTTGGCAATATTAACAATATCGAACCAATGCCCCTGGTGCAGAGCAGTATTCGCATGCAGGCAAGTAGCAAAACACCAGTGCATGGCAGCAGCCGGAGAAAACTTGTTATCGAATTTGTAAACGCTTCGCGTAATTCCACCAGCCCATCCAGAAACGATGCCCAGAAGAATTGTCTCGATCAGGGAAGTGGGCAACGCGCAGAGGAAGGTTCCCCCAGTGGAGGCCTCTTGGAGCGTCTTGGGGGCCTCTTGGCGGTCCCGGGCGCCTTTTAGAGCGTCCTGGGTGCCTCTGAGAGCTTCTTGGGGCCTCTTGGGGGTCTCTTGGGAGCCTCTTGGAGGCCTCCTGGGCGCCTGTTGGGGCCTCCTGGGGCCTCCTGGGCGCCTCTTGGGGCCCTATTGAAGCGCTCTTGGGGGCCTCGGGGGCGCTCTTGGGGGCCATCTTGGAGGACATCGATCAAACAAGAGGGGAACATGTATTCGCGTTACCCCTCGGGAGCCCTTAGGGGCGCTCTTAGGGCGCTCTTGGAGCGCTCTTGGGCCATCTTGGAGCCATCTTGAGGCTTCGGGTGATCATCGGAAGCGAAAAGGCGAGACAGCCAAAAACATTGATCCCCCAAGGTTTTTGATTGATTTTGGCCTCTTCGGGACCTCCAGGGGGAGCTCTTTGGCTACTTGGAGCCGTCTTGGAGCGGTCTTGGGGCCTCTTGGAGCATCGTGGGGGCCATGATATCTTGAGCCATCTTGGAGGTCATCTTGGGCTCTCCCAGGGGCTCTTGGAGTCATCTTAATCAGTGCCCCCCCAGGAGGCCAACGTGTGGCCAAGACCTTAGTGACATCAACGGTTTTGGCATTCTCGCCGAGGCCTCTTGGAGTCTTGGGTGCCTCTTGGGGGCCTCTTGGGGCCTCTTGGGGGCCTCTTGGGGGCCTCGTGGGGGCATCCTGGGGGCCTCTTGGGGGCCTCTTAGGGCCTCCTGGCAACCTTTTCGGGCCCTCCTGGGGCGCCCTCGAGAGCCTTGGGGGCCATCTTTGGGCCATCTTGGGTGAGATCGATCAGGGGAGGGGAGCTTCTTAATTGGCCCCCCCCCGAGGAGGCCAATGGTGCCCAAACCTGAGTAAAATCAATGATTTTGGCTTCCTCGCCGACGCCGCTTTGGGCGCTCCAACTACTCGCGGAACCCCCCGTCCAGGTCCGGGGCCCGTCCAGGTCCGGGGGGGGGGTGGGAGGAGGGGTCAACCCTTCCCCGAAGGGGGAGGAAGAGGGTTGGAGGAGGAAACTCCCTAGACCACCTACGCCCAAAAGGGCTGGTGGGATTTTGGGATGTGGCCGCGCGAGTTGATTATCCGTGCGGGCTTCGCCCCTTGCCGCCGGCCCCCTCTCTATAATAGTGGGATCTATCAGAGTCGCGTCGGTGCGTCTCGGCACTGCCTTGGCGCGTCTGGGAAAGTCGTGCGGGGGGGCGGACAGGAATCATCCGCGCATATTGAGACGTTGGCGTTGTATCGAAGACGCCTACGGCGAATCACCGCCGCCCCCTGCCTTTTTGGAAGCGCCTATGTGGCCGAACGTTGAGGCCAGACCTGCCAAGCTATCGGACCACGTGTTCCCCGAATCGGTTTGGAAAGCCTTCGGGGAACACGTGGGCATCTTGAAGGTCATCTTGGCCGTCTTGGAGGCCTCTTGGGCAAGCTTTGGGCGATCTTTGGAGCTTTTTGGGCCGTCTCGGGCCAGCTTCGAGCCAACTTCGGCCATCTTGGTGGGTTCCTGGCACGTCTGAAGCCGTCGGAAGCCGGTTGGGGGGCCTCTATGGGCCGACTTGGGGCCCGCTTGGAATGCTCCAGGGCCGTCTTGGAGGCCATCTTGGGCGTCTTGGAGGCCATCTTGGGCGTGTTGGAGGCCTCTTGGGCCCTCTTGGGGCCCTCTAGGGGCCATCTTGGAGGCCACTTGGGCCATCATGGGGCTCTCTTGGGGGCCTCTTGGGCGATCTTGGGGGCTTCTTGGGCCGTCTTGAGCCGTCGGAGAGCCGAAAAGGCGCAAATGCCAAAATCCTTCAAAAACCAAGGGAAAATCAATGATTTTGGCCTCTTCGGACTCTCCTGGAGGACCTCTTGGAGGCCTCTTGGGCCGTCTGGGAGGCCTCTGGGGGGCCTCTTGGGCCGTCTTGGGCCGTCTTGGACTCTCTTGGGCCGTTTTGGAGGCCGTCTTGGACCATCTCGGGCGGACTTGGAGGCCATCTTGGGCCATCTTCGCGATTTTTTGAGGATGTCCCGAGCGAAACGGCCGTTTTTGGGCATTGACAGACGGATTTTGGGAAACGCGCGGGTGGCCGGCGGGACGGGCCGAAGCCCACTGGGGAGTTCTTTTAGAAAAAGAACCAAAACCAAAACCTGAATCGTCCAGCACGCCGTGCACCCCTGCAGGCAGGGGGCGGCGGACTAGTGGCCTTCGGCCCATCCCGCCACCGTGCCTGAGTTGCGGCGTGGGTCTGAGGCCTCTGGCATATTGTATATGTGTTGTGGTGTCGTGGGGGGCCCCGATAGGGCCTCTTGGCGGCAGCTCGGGCGCCTCTTGGGGGCCTCTTGGGGCCTCGCGGGGTATCCCATGGGCCTCTTGAAGGCCTCTTGGGCGCGTGTTGGGCGCGTCTTGGCGCTGTCGTCGTCGTCGTCGTCGTCGTTGGCGTCGTCGTCCTCGTAATCGTTGTCGTCGTCGTCCTCGCCGTTGTCGTCGTCGTCGTCGTCGTCGTCGTCGTCGTCGTCGTCGTCATCGCGTTCTCCTGCTGGAGATCGGCCTTCGGACCTCTTCCGAGGCACTTTCCGACCAAGCCCTCGAGGCGGATGGAAGCCGCGGCGACCGGGGCTTTCCAGGAGGCTTAGGAAAGGGAAAAGACGTTCCCCCTCCTCCTCCTCCTCCTCCTCCTCCTCCTCCTCCTCTTCCTCCTCTTCCTCGTATTCCTCCTCCTCCTCCTCGTCCTCGTCCTCGTCCACCCTTTTCCTCCTCCTTGTCTTTTCCCTCGTCCTCGTCGCATTCCTATTCCTCTTCCTCGTCGTCCTTCCTTCACTCTTCACCTCATCCCCCTCGTTCCCCTCCTTCCCCTCCTGCTCCTCCCGCTCCTCCTCCTCCTCCTCCTCCTCCTCCTCCTCCTCCTCCTTGTCTTCTTCCTCTTACTCGTCGTTGTCCTTCTCCTGATCTTCTTCCTCGTCGTCGTCCTCGCTGTCGTCGTCGTTGTCGGCGTCGTCGTCTTCGTAATCGTTGTCGTCGTCGTCCTCGCTGTCGTCGTCGTCGTCCTCGCCGTCGTCGTCGTCGTCGTCGTCGTCGTCGTCGTCGTCGTCGTCGTCATCGTCTTCTCCTGCTGGAGATTGGCCTTCAGACCTCTTCCGAGGCACTTTCCGACCAAGCCCTCGAGGCGGATGGAAGCCGCGGCGACCGGGGCCTTCCAGGAGGCCTACGAAAGGTAAAAGACGTTCCCCTCCTCCTCCTCCTCCTCCTCCTCCTCCTCGTTTTCCTCCTCCTCCTCGTCCTCGTCTTCTTCCTCTTCTTCGTCGTTGTCCTTCTCCTGCTCTTCTTCCTCGTCGTCGTCCTCGCCGTCCTCGCCGTCGTCGTCGTCGTCGTCGTCGTCGCTTTCTGCTGCTAGAGATCGGCCTTCGGACCTCTTCCGAGGCGCGTTCCGACCAAGCTCTCGAGGCGGATGGAAGCCGAGGCGACCGGTGCCTTCCAGGAGGCCTAGGAAAGGTAAAAGACGTTTCCCCCTCCTCCTCCTCCTCCTCCTCCTCCTCCTCCTCCTCCTCCTCTTCGTCCTCGTCCTTCTTCTTCTCCTCCTCCTCCTCTTTCTCCTCGTTCTCGTCCTCGTTCCCTCTCTTCCTCTTCCTTGTCTTTTCCATCTTCCTCGTCGTATTCCTATTCCTCTTCTTCGTCGTCCTCCCTCCGCTCTTCAGCTCCCCCCCCTCGTCCTCCTCTTTCCCCTTCTCCTCCTTCCTCCTCCTCCTTCTTCTTGTCTTCTTCCTCTTCTTCGTCGTCGTCCTTCCCCTGCTCTTCTTTCTCGTCGTCGTTGTCGTCGTCGTCGTCTTCTCCTGCTAGAGATCGGCCTTCAGAACTCTTCCGACCAAGCCCTCGAGGCGGATGGAAGCCGAGGCGACTGGGGCCTTCCAGGAGGCCGAGGAAAAGTAAAAGACGTTCCGCTCCTCCTCCTCCTCCTCCTCCTCCTCCTGCCTCCTCCTCCTCCTCCTCCTCCTCCTCCTCCCTCCTCCTCCCCTCCTCCCCCTCCCCCTCCCCCTCCCTCTATCCCCCCTCCCCTCCTCCTCCTCCTCCTCCTCCTCCTCTCCTCCTCCGCCTCCTCCTCGTCCCTCCTCCTCCTCCTCCTCGTCCTCCTCCTCCTCTCCTCTCCTCCCCCTCCTCCTCCCCTGTCCTCCCTGCTGTTGTTTTTCCCCCCTCTCCTCCTCCTCCTCCTCCTCCTCGTCCTCCTCCTCCTCTCCTCTCTCCTCCTCCTCCGCCTACCTGCCTCCCCCTCCTCCCCTCCCCCCCTCCACCTCCCTCTCCGCTCCCCCGCCTCCTCCTCCTCCTTCCTCTCTCCTCCTCCCCTCCTCCTCCTCCTCCTCCTCCTCGTCCTCCTCGTCCTCCTCCTCCTCCTCCTCCCATCTCCCCCCCGGCGGGGCGTTTCCTGACGGACAGAATTTCGAGTGCAACCGCGCGGCGCGGGCGGCCACGGACCTCCCGCGCGGCCGACGCTTCGCCCCAGACTACGCCTGCGCCCTGCAACGTGCGGCGGCAGGCTCCCCTCCTCCTCCTTCTCCTCCTCCTCCTTCTCCTCCTCCTTCTCCTCCTCCTTCTCCTCTTCCTCCTCCGCCGCCTCCTCCTCCACTCCCCCCTATCTCCCCCGCCGGGGCTTGGGCCAGAGGCCCCCGCGGCGGCGGCCACTGCTCCGGAGAGCGTGGAGCGCCAACGCCTCCGCCGCGGGGGGGCTCGCGGAGCGCAGTGGTTGATGCTTCCGATGCGCGCCGTTTTGCAGGAGGACCCCCCCAGGACCTCAGGCGAGGGGGGTCTCGATTTTCGTCGGCTCCGCACTCGTGCTCATTGCGGAGCAGATCAGGCAGGCAACATCCGGGCAACATC